TCACCAGTGGTCATCTTGAGAAACTCCCTTATAAATTGTCCACAAGATAAAAAATGGGGCAGAATAATAGTCTTAGATGTGCTTTTCCGCCTTCTGGGGGTGTGGATGAGGAGTGGGGAACACTAGCCTTATCAGTATTCCCTTCTCCTTCCTCCAGAAATAGAACCCTTAACCCTCACCCACCTCTATCACTTGCAGTTGAAGTCACAAACATCATTTTAGGGGGCTGAGAGTGTAGGACAGTGGTAGAGCCCTTGCCTATCATGAAGGGCCCTGGGCTGATCCCTAACACTGGAAGAGCCCTGAGAACTCCCTTGTCTTATTTTCTTCTTTTTTTTAAAAAAATATTATTAATGGTAGTAGAGTTGTTGTGGTAGTACTAGGGTTTGAACTTATGCCTGCTAGGCAGATGCGCTCTTTTTTTTTCTTTATTTTTCAAATAGGGTCTTCTGTTTGTGCCTGGGCCCACCAGGACAGAAATCGTCATGTTTATGCATCATTCATAGCTGTAACAGCAGGTGCATGCCACCACACTTTGTTTTTATATTGATTGCGATGAGATCTCAAAAATTCCTGGGGTATTGAACCACGATCCTCCTGATGTCAGTCTTCTATGCTAGGATTACAAGCATGAACCGCCATGCCTACCAGTTGTTGTTGTTTGAGACAAGGTATTCCTATGTAGATGAAACTGGCCTTGAACTTAAAATTCTGTCTGTCTCAGTTTCCTGAGTGCTGATGTTACAGGTGTGCACCCCTGCACTCAGCTATCTTTTTCCTTGAAGGCTTTTCTCCCTATGTGCTTTTCACATAAATTGCTTTATTTTTTCACATCAACCTCGAGCATTTCCTACTAGTGGTTGGCTTTCATCCTCACCATAGCCCTACAAAGGGGTTCACTTATCTTCACTTTAGAGGTAGACTCCCGTAAAGTTTGCTTATATTACATTTTTCTCTGTTCCAATCTAGCCAGCACAGTCTGGCCAGAGGTTGCATTCTAGTGAGGTTTTTCTGTAAATCACATATTTTCAAACCTTACCATCCTTAACATACCCATCTTTGTATGATCTCATGAGTGCATGAGTTGAGATTAATTCACCCCATGGCACAGTAATCCAATTAGGACACTGCTACATATTTAGCTATTTGGTTCTGTGCTATTCACCTAGCCCCTCAGTCACTTTCCTCCCACCTGAAAGGAGATAGTAACACTTCTCACTCCACAAGCTTGTGAAAACCAAGTAACTTAATGAAATCACTGTGGTCATTGTGATGCTTCATAGAAATATTATTTCAAACAGAATCACTGGTTGGCATGATCTTAGAAGGCCCCTGAAGAGCAATGGAATGCTTATAGCTTATAGCTTATATCCAGTATAACACCAGACCTGCCAACAGTGTGTGCTTTTGAAAATGTTGAGGAACAAAGAATACAACACTGCCCTGAAGGGGATGTTGAGGAAATTGTGTTTGGCATTATCAATGTATAAGTTAGATATTGAAATTCTTTATCTCACAAAGCATCTCATATGCATATTGCATTGGATACTCATTAAAAACAACAACAGAAGCCAGGTGCTGGTGGCTCCAACCTGTAATCCTAGCTACTCAAGGAGTCTGAGATTCAGAGGATCAAGATCCAAAGCCATTCTTGGCAGAAAAGTCCTCAAGACTCTATCTCCAAATTAACTAGCAAAAAAGCTGGCTATGAGGCATGACTCAAGTGGTAAAGTGCCAGCCCAGCAAGTAAACAAAGCAGACATGAGCCCTTTGAGTTTAAAAAAAAAGAAGAATTAGGCTTTACTAATTACAATTGTTCCAATTTCGTTGTTACAATTGTTCTAGCTTCTCCTTCCTGGAAGTGAATTCCCATCCAAATTTGCAAAATTATTCTTCCCAGCTTCCTTCAAGGCTCATATATTACAAAGATCACAGCCCTAATCCCCAGATTCATTTTCTCTTGGCTTTATGAATCCACACAGTGCTGAGCAACCTCACTGTCCTGTATTCTAGTCACTCACATACTGTCTTCACATCAGCACTTCTCCATAAACTCACAACTCATAGGAGGAAACAACATAGGAGGAAGAAGTTCCTTCTTTGCAAATTGTCCCAAACAGTTTATAAGGCCTAAGTCTTATTATGGAAATGTAATGTGTGTGTGTGTGTGTGTGTGTGTGTGTGTGTGTGTGTGTGTGTGTGTGTGTGTAGTGCCAGGGGCCTGGGGCTTGAACGTAGGGCCTATGCACTGTCCTTGAGCTTTTTGGTTCATGGCTAGCACTCTATCACTTGAGCCACAGCTTCATTTCTGGAGTGTGTGTGTGTGTATGTGTGTGTGTGTGTGTGTGTGTGTGTGTGTGTGTGTCTGTGTGTGTCTCTGTGTGTGTGTGTGTGCGTGTGGACGTGCGTGCTTAATTGGAAATAAAAGTCTCAAGAACTTTTCTGCTCAGGCTGGCTTCAAACTGTGATATTCAGATCTCAGCATCCTGAGTACCTAGGATTATAGGCATGCACCACCAGTGCCAGGCTTTATATTTTATATGTTCTATATATTATTTACTATGTATTATACTAAATATCCCTAAACCCACCAGCCACCTTCAATACGTCGCATCATGTGCTTGCTATGACATCTATTTGTCTGCTCCTTGACTTTGAACAATTTTTTTTGTTTGTCTGTTTGTTTTGTGTTTTTATTTTTTTGTTGTTGTCGTTGGTTGTTGAGCTTGAACTCTGGGCCTGAGTCCTATTCCTGCGCTCTTTAGCTCAAGGTTATCTACTACTTGAGCCACAGAGCCACTTCCAGTTTTCTAGTGGTTAATTGGAGAGAAGAGTCTCAGGGATACCCGGGTTGGCTTTAAACCACCATCCTCAAATCTTGGTCTCTTGAGTAGCTAGGATTATAGGCATGAGCTACCGGTGCCCAAGTTGTTTGTTTCTTTTTATGCGGATACTGGAGGTTGAACTCAAGGCCTGGGCACTGTCCCTAAATTTTTTTATGCTCAAGGCTAATGCTCTAACCATTTGAACCACATCTCCACTTCTAGCTTTTTGGTAAATTCATTGGAATTAACAGACGTTTTCGGCCAGACTTGGCTTCAAACCACAATCTTCAAATCTCAATCTCCTGAGTAGGTAGGATTTCAAGGAGCTGCTGGTTGGCTTTTTGGTTTTGAATGTGACTTGTCACTGTGTAGCCCTGACTGTCCTCTTACAGGAATCTCTTTGCCTTTGCCTCCTTAGTACTGGGATTACAGGCATGAATCACCACATTCAGTTCTTATTTTGAATTATTTTAAAGCAAATCCATAAATACTCCAGTATGGGAATCAGCTTTTACATTTCTGTATCTCCAACAATTGGAAAAAACTTGCATGTACATCCTGCTACTAGGAGGAACACAATAGATTGCTGCCGAGCACCGACATGGTTCCCTTTGAGCTAGAGAAGGGGGAAATAATAATGATGATAATAATAATAATATAGTAAGTCGTGAATTTCCCAACTAAGAATTGTTGCGGTTCCAGGGAATGAGCATGGGGGTAGGGGGTGCCCTTGGGGCTGAAAGAACGGAACCTTCAGTTTACTATGTGAGTGAGCCTGAGTTCGAATGTGCTGTGCTACATGGGGTGTCCAGAAGGAGGCGCTGTGACGGCGCGATGGCGTGGGGGGCGGTGCACGTCACGCGGGGGGTTTCGGCGGCTGCAGGGAGCTGGGAAGGCGGCCAGAGCCAGCTGCGAGTACAGACAGCGAGCCACAATGCCATTTTAATAGGCCATCAGAACGTGGGGCATCAAGAGCCACGAGGGATGGGGGTTCAGGTGCTGGGGGAGCAGGGAGGGGCTGCTCCAGGCAGGTCGGGCACCTGCTCCCCTGCTTGTCTCCATATTTGCCAATCGTCCTGGCTGTCGCCTGCTTCCCGCCCTAACTGCCGCTCTTCCTGGTAGAATATCTTGGAACAGAGCACAGGACAGAGCGAGGAAACACCTGTTTCCAACAAGAAAAGAAGTGGGGGGAAGCCCCCGAGCAGCCTTCCAATGGCCTCTCCCTGAGCTCGGCTCTCGAGAGCCTTGTAAAAAGCGCGCCCAGAAAGCCAGCACAGATCAGTTTTCAAAAAAAAAAAAAAAAAGATCGCTTTCTAGTTCTTACTCCCTTCCACCTCTCCTATTCCTCACCTCTAACGTCCTTTTCGAACAAAAAAAGTCTTCTTTACCTTGGGTGTTTTCCCGCTCCTGTGGGACTCCGAAAGCTCCCCACCACCAACCCCGGCCTTGATGTCTTGCAGACAACCACCAAGAACCTCCGATCCTCAATGTTGCAACTGCGTTTGGCTTCCTTATTCAAGCCCCTTGACCCGATCTACAGGTGGGGAGTGGGTTGTTGCATAGCGGAACAAAGGAACTTGGAGGGGGAGGTAACCCCTTGTCCCGAGTTAGAGCCTCCTTCTGCAGAGCCTCCCACCAGCCCTTCGGGGACAAGGAGGGGGTGGGGGTGGGAGATCGCGAGCCTGCAGAATCTTCCAGCCGTTGTGATATCCCAGCACTTTGTAAAGGGGGTGGGGGTGGGGGCAAGCCGAGGAGGCGTGGGCCATGGGACAACACAACCTTGCGGCAGCCAGACCTCCACGGAACAGGCCCGAGTGGCCGTGGACGCCAAAGGCACTTTAAAAAAAAAATTTAACAAAAAAAAAAAAAAAACCTGCCAAAAAACAGTTCTGCCTCACTGCAATGTGTAGCTTTTTCCTGCAATTTTTTTCATAATAAAAGAGGGAGTGAAGCTCGATTGCTCCCCCCCTCACTCCTCCACCCCCCTCTCAAGAGCCAAATGGATATGAGAAGGAAAGGGAAGAAAGGAAAAAAAAAAAGAACCCACACACCAATCTCTGAGGGGATGCCAGTGAGGTGTGGCTTGTATTTAAATATCCAATATGTCAATGTAAGGGGAGTGGGTATGTATATAAAGTGGCGTGTTGCATTTGATCGCCGGCCCGCAGGCAGCGATGCGAGGCGGGGAGGGATGGATGCGGAGAGGACGCGGTCCTCTGACTGAGAGCAAGGTCAGAAGCGCGCGGCCCCACGCTCCCCGCCGCTGAGAACTTCCTTGGACGCCAACAGACGTCTCCTGCAGCTGGGCAGAGCGCACAGCTAGCAAACGAGCCGAGCAAACGGAGCGAGCCAACGGAACGAGCACCGCCGGATCGCCCGCGCCCCGCCGCGGGGAGAAGCAGTTCGCGCCCCCCTGCGGTCCCGGCTCGGGCCCCCGTGTGCGCCCAGCACAGCCCGCGCCGCCGTTGGGCCCCCGCCATGGCGGAGGTGGGGGGGGTCTTCGCCTCTTTGGACTGGGATCTGCATGGTTTCTCATCATCTCTGGGGAACGTGCCCTTAGCTGACTCCCCGGGTTTCCTGAACGAGCGCTTGGGCCAGATCGAGGGGAAGCTGCAGCGGGGTTCGCCCACAGACTTCGCCCACCTGAAGGGGATTCTGCGGCGCCGCCAGCTTTACTGTCGCACCGGCTTCCACCTGGAGATCTTCCCCAACGGCACGGTGCATGGCACCCGCCACGATCACAGCCGCTTCGGTGAGGACGCGGTGACAAGGGTGGGGAACGGGAAGAGGGTGGACGCTGAGCTGGGGAGTTGAGGACTCCGAGTTCCTGGGGTGGGGCCCACGGGGCTGTCCTCCCCCCCCCCCCCCATACACTCCAGGCTGTGTGCTTCCTCTGGGTCCGTCGAGGCGGGACTTGATGGCTGGCGTGCAGCTGAGCCGCGCAACATCTCGGGGTCCCGCACTCTCGAATACAGTCGGGAGGCACTTCTTCTCCCCCCGCCTCCATGCTCCCTCCCCCGGGAGTGAGGGGCTCAGTCGAAGAGTTGAGCCTGAATCGTCCATGAAAACAGGTGGAGCTGGGGAGGAGCAGGAACTTGTCGCTTCTGAAGCCAGGGGATCGGGATCTGCTAAGCCTTTCGAGCGAGCCTCGAGGGCAGGCCTGATTAACTGGAAAGCGAGCCTGCAAAGGGCCAGGGGCGTGGTGGGCACACAGTCCTGTGCCCCGCATCACTCTTGGCTGGCGGGGACGCCAGCATCCGTGGGCACTGGTTGACCTCAGGTTGGCTTAGCCCGCAGTAGGAGCCAAGCTAGGCAGCACCGGGTGAAATGGGTACCGTATCCACCGTGCAAGGGCACCAATCCTGGGGACTGCTTTTTCCCCAAATCGACCTCTGGGGGATTGCTCACGCCCAGCCCTAGAAACAGGTGTCCAACTGGACATGGGGCAGAGAATCTTGCCTGCCTGTCACTATGTAGATGGCTCTCAGAGGACACAGCTGCCTGCCTCACTTACAGAACTAATTACTTCATCAGTAGAAGCCTTGGTCTGGGACAGAGACCATTAGCTTTCTAAGCAAATGTGTTCCCTCCTCAAGAATTTGCCATTTTTTATTTTCAATGTCCCATTCTCTACTAAGCCATCAAGCAAGTCCCATGACAGATAGCTTTCCTCCTCCCCGTCCTGCCAATGCCCTCTGTCTCCTTCCAAGGTCTTTTCAATCCAAGAAGGTCACCTTCTAATACCTAAGCCAGAAAAAAAGACTCGGCCCACCCTCTCAAGCATGACACCCTTGCTTCCCTTCCCCACCCCCCCCACCCTCCCCCTCCTTCCACAAACCTCTCCATCTTACTCTTCATGCCTTGCTAGAGCAGCAAGGGAGAAGGGCATAGTAAATGGGGCAGGCAGGAAGGGGCCAGTTAGTGCGGAAGACCAACCAAAGCAAACAACTTAGGGCCCAGGGCTGGTCTTCCTTGCTACGAGCAGGCAGGAACCTTAATGAGATCTATGTCATCTTGGAAAAATGCACTCAAACAGAGCCTGGAGTACAGTAGGTTGGGAGGGGTAATGGAGGGGTGCAGGTGTCTGTATAAACTTGCAGCAGGTCCTCAAAAGGGTGATAAGGTGGAGTGGGAAGAGAGGGAGTGTTAACTTGGCTCCTTTCCCTTCCATCAGTTGGGATTTTTCAGTCCCCTTTTGTTCCTTTTCATAAGAAACTGAGACCTCCACCCAGGCCTCAGAGGCTCCTAGAAAATGGCCTAAAGAATACTGGAATCATTGAATATAAGTGTGTGTGTGTGTGTGTGTGTGTGTGTGTGTGTGTGTGTGTAATGGAGAAATGCAGGCAAGGTCATGAAAGTGGAGAATGGCCATGCGGAGCTCTAAGTCCTTGCAGCCACCGCTACAAGTGTCTGTCTGACTCAGTGTCCACACTAGTCTGACAAACTACGAGGTCAATACAAATCAGTAATAGACTCTTGGGATAAGTGGTCCTTAATTACCTCCATCAAGACACATCTTGATTTCTTTTCATCTCCCAGACCTGCTAAGGGTGTTAACTTTAAGGAGAAACCAAAGGAAATAAAACTGGCAAAGGAAGAGATGTTTTCACAGTCACTTCATGGGCAGCTGGCTTCATTTCTGTGTTTACCTTGTATATTAATAATAATAATAATAATAATAATAAGTAGTAGTAGTAGTAGTAGTAGTAGTTGAGACCCTCTCCAAATGGCCTTTTCCCTTTCCTCTTTCCACTCCTTCTCTGACTTTCTGGCAGTTCCATGTATTTCCTATAAAGGAAACGATAACTGAGCAAAACTGTCTCTTTGTAATCTTTCTTGCCAACTTTCAAACCCACACCTAGTCTCTTTCTCGCAGTTGAGTTGTTTGGGAGCCCAGAATGAGATGCAGTTTGACTTCGCTAACTCTTTCCTCCCTCCACATTTGAGTTAATCAGCCAGGGTATTCAATAAATCGAAACTTTAACATTCCATAAGTGCTTTAGCAGTCAACATTCCAACAGGGTAAAGTAGGCCAGACTTAAGATATAAAATATTATAGATTTCTGCTCGGGGGGAGGAGGTAGTCTCCAAAGGCCATGTAAAGTAAATAGCTATTTGTTGTAATTGGAGAGCAGGGCCCCCAAGGATTACGCTGGAATCCATGTGCTCAGAACGAGTCAGGCTGAGCCCAAGAGCAGCCCCGACTCCAAATAATAACCTGTTGGCACAGCACATGCTCCCTGCTCTCCATCTGCAATCGGTAGCCAGGAATATTTCAACCCCCTCCTGGGCTGGTGACATTTACTCCAGACTGAGGTTCTTGGGGATCCTCACATTCCTAAGGGGCACCTGTGGATAGGCAGAGCCGGCCTTGGAAGCCACAGTGGAGGAGAGGCTTCCTCATGGGTGAGATGGAACAGGCTTTGGATTTTTCAGCGACCTGATTCTAGTAGTAGTAGTAGCAGTAGGAGTACTAGTAGTAGTAATATGTTAAATTATCTCTTTTTATTTTGTTGGTTAGTCATGAGGCTTGAACTGTGGGCCTAGGTGCTGTCCATGAGCTCTTCAGCCCATGGCTAGTGCTCTACCACTTTGAGCCACAGCACCACTTCCAGTTTTCTGGTGGTTTATTAGACATCAGAGTCTCATGGACTTTGCTGCCCAGGCTGCCTTTGAACCATGATCCTCAGATCTCAGCCTCATGAGTAGCTAAGACTACATGCGTGAGCCACCAGCACTTGGCCATGTTAAATGATCTTTAAGAAGTTGTACAAAGAGTTTCAATTCAACATATCTGTGTGTGAGTACAATGCATCTTGATCAATGTCACCTGGGCAAGATGCCAAGGCAGCACCATTTTGGCCCTTGATGGTCTAAAAGCATGGCTGGTGGACCTGAGGTGAGTCATGGAACCAAATTAAATGACATATTAGCCAATCATCTAGCTAGATTCTGAAATAGTGGGGCATAGGATCAATGGGCTTTGATGAAGGCTCTGAGGAAAGATGTATAAGGAGATGGGTCTAGAAATGGTCAAGAAAGGCCAGTGCCTAAGGTGTGCAGGTCAAGAAGAGGCAGAGTAGAAGGAGGTCCTGGGTCTGGAAGGGGTGAGAGAAGGGAGGACCAACTTTGTCTACTTAATACTTTGCTGTTAACACCCCTGTCCAGCTGGAGCTGGGAAAATAGGAAAATGTCTTGTTTTTGCTCCCCTTTCATGCTGGCTGGAATTCAGGAGAAGGTTTAGAAATATCTATTCCATCATCGTGTGCCACTGGGTTCCCACAGTCTGAATCCAGCTAATAGGAAAGTTGGCAAGGAGAAATGATGCCCAAAGACAGCTGGGCAGGGATGATTCCAGCTGTTGGAGACCCCTCTTACTGGACACAACCCAAGTGACTTCCTGTATGATCTGTCCTTTGGCATCAGGGTTCACAGAGAGTTGGAGAAAAACTGTGGTGACTCAAATAGCCACACCTCTTGGGTTTCATGATTTTGTTCGCACCCCAGGTCTCGGGCGGTGAGATCACAAGCCATCCTCTGCTACTTAAGAAGTGAGCTCAGGGTACTGAGAGACATGAGATACTGAGAGAATGAAGGAACAAAGACAAAGCTTGGATGTGATTTGCCTAAGCAAAACAAAGAACTGAAGGCTCCCATGGGTTGGTGCTCCTCAAAGTTTAGCACCCAGAACCAAATCATGACTTGGTTTCTAATTCCATCACCATATGGCCACTCTACTTTGAACATGCTCTTGCTTTTCTGTATGTCTCTAGCACAGTAGAACTAAGCATAGCACTTACCCCTGGAGTGTTCAAGCCAAGGGTTAGCCGAATAGCAGGGCAGTCTCCTCCTTTATGTGACTCACTAGATCTTTGCAAACGTGGCCTTAAATAATTCACACTAGGTCCCCGCTTTCTACATTTTGCATTAACTTTTAAATGATTGCTTTAATGTTTATTGATTTATTATTTTATGTAAACAGTTGTATGTAAAAAGGAGTTCTCATTTCACAAAGCAATTTATGAGTACAATGCATCAGACTTTTTTCTTTTTCTTTTTTGATATTTATTTGTTTGTTTGTTTGTTTGTTTTGTTTTGTCAGTCGTGGGGCCTGAACTCTGGGCCTGGGCACTGTCCCTCAGTTCTTCAGCTCAAGGCTAGCACTCTACCACTCAAGCCACAGCTCCACTTCCAGCTTTTTCTGCTTATGTGGTGCTGAGGAATGGAACCCTGGGCCTCATGCATGCAAGGCAAGCGCTGTACCACTAAGGCACCTTCCCAGCCCCTCTTTTTCTTTTAAATAAAAGCTTTTTCCAGACACCTATGGCTCACACCTATAATCTTAGCTGAGGAGGCTGAAATCTGAGGATCATAGTTTGAAGACAGCCTGGGCAGGAAAGTCTCAAAAATTCTGATTGCGAATTAGCCAGCAAAAAGCCAGAAACTAGAGTCGTGGCTTTAGTGAAAAACCACTGTCTTTGAGCACAAAAGCTGGGGACATTGTCCAGGCTCTGAGTTCAAGCCCCAGGACTGACACAAAAAAAAAAATGAAGACAGGATCTTGCTATTTAGTGCAAGAAGCTTTCCAACTTGGGATTCACCTATCTCAGCCTTCCATGTGCTGGGATTACAAGTACATACCACCATGTGAGACAATTTTTATTTTATTTTATTTTTTGGTCGTGGGGCTTGAACTCTGGGCCTGGGTGCTGTCCCTCAGCTCTTTTACTCAAAGCGAGTGCTCTGCCACTTGAGCCACAGCACCACTTCTGGTTTTCTGGTGGTTTATTGGAGATAAGAGTCTCATAGCCTTTCCTGCCCAGGCTGGCTTTGAACTGTGATCCTCAGATCTCAGCCTCCTGAGTAGCTAGGGTTACATGCATGAGTCACCAGCACCTGGATAATTTTTAAATTTGTATATAACCAGTTTTACATTTGATTTTTACTAGTTCCACTAATCACTCACCATCATCCCGAATTTAGTTCACCCAACAAAATCTCTTGGGCCATTGTTATTACATTTTTTAGAGATGGGTAAACTTGCATGTAACTAAAATACACGTAGGATGCTCCAGGCACTGGGTTCAATCCTCACCATCACAGAAAAGAAAAAGAAGAAATATGGTTACCGAAAGTGTGGAGATGAATGATACAGTGTATGGAAGAGAAAAGGGGAGGGAGGAGGGAGAGGGAGAGGAAGAAAGGAAGAGAGGGAGGGAGAGGGAGAGAGAGAGAGAGAGAGAGAGAAAGAGAGAGAGAGAGAGAGAGAGAGAGAGAGAGAGAGAGAGAGAGAGAGAGAGAGAGAAGCCCTCACAAACTATAATAACTATGAACTAAGGGATATGGTTAACTCAACTCTCTGTGCTTTGGGCTCACCTTTGTCCAACAAAACCCAAACTTAAGTGCCTTGGACTAGTGCAGGACTTTATAATACTGGCCCCAATGGAGCATATTTTGGTGAAGCCAGCCCACTTTGCCATCCTCTTGAGATTTCTTTGGTCTCTACCGTGTCATCCTCTCAGCTGTGTCTTTTGGAACTAGGATAAATAAGACTCCTATGTTCTCTTGTGGCTCATTTATTAAAACACTAAGCAGGGCAGAATCTGTGCAATGGGAGATGTAGATCCATTAAATCGGTGTTTGATTAACCTCTTACTCAGCACTAGCCATTTTCCCTTCCCTCCCACCAGTATGTGCCAATCTCTCTTCCCAAGACTCCCTTCTAGGTACTGGAAGCATCTGTAACAACCCAACTGAGGATTTCAATGAGAGACCAAAGGCCAAACCCTAAGACCCACCACCCACTAGCCAAGCCTCTGGAGTTCATAGTAGACTTGCCACAAGAGGTTTTAACCTGATTTCAAAATTAGCCACTTGCTGGATCTTGTTGGATCTTGGGAACTAGAGGAGAGAAAACTGATTTCAAGTTCAAAGCCAACCTGGGCTACATAGCCAGACCCTGCCTCTTAAAAGAATTATTTTTGCTTTATGCAATCAGCTCTGCTTCCTGTATAAGTAATTTAGAAGCATATTACCCTGAAATTTTTCATTTTTTGAATGAATGACAGCTAAGTAAGTGTGAGACCATTTCATAACTTTGGATACATAAAAAAATTGCACCCATGTTTTTAGTCTGTATATTTTAAAAGGAGGTAGGAGACAGAAATCTCAAAGAAGACTCCAATTGACTATTTATTTCATCTGTAGCTAGATAAGTAAGATACCATCTTAGGACAAAACTGTGGAAGTCTTCAATATCATCAGGATTTCATTTCTGGGTCCTTTCACCTTCTTTAGAGTTGTTCTGTTTCTTCCCATGGGGTAAATGAAAACATTTTCAAATCTTCACCTCTAACCTTGTCAGCTAAAAAGACATTTCTGAATTTCTTCCCTTTCCCCTTCAAGTTACAACATTTCATATCAGTATGGAGTCCAATACTACCTGCCAACTTCTACTGTGGATAAACTTTCAAAAAAACTCTCAAGAGAGAAGGGGAGAGTGACAGGCTTGTCAGCTTGAGGCTGTACTAGCTGCGAGCACTTTTTAGGAGAAAGCTTTCCTGAAGCCAAGTCTTCCCTCCTGCCATGAGCAAACTGAACAAACTCAGTGAGTGGCCCGTGTGGTATTTGTTAGCAGCAGCTAAGGGCAGTTGACAGGCCCATGTGGTTTTAAGGACATGGGAGCTGAGAGGGTGCAAAATAAGTTCAGCCCAGTGGACAGCAGGGTAAATGCTGTGTATGCTGGGAGGTGCAAGGTGACTTTAGGAAAGTTCCAAAAACCTCTTGCATTGAGAAAGCAGCTTTGCCATTACTTGAAATGACTGCTATTTGACAATAATGCCTTATCATTCTGAACCTTTAGTGACCAAAGCCTTTTTGGGGGCCTTCCTTATAACATACCTAGGAGGGTCGGGTTAATGGAGCTCAGTATAAATTGCTTGCCTAACACACTCAAGGCCCTGGATTTGATCCATAGAACTGCCAAATAAATCAATAAAATAGTGAAAAGTGTTACATAAAGGCAAAGATTGATTCTCCCTATTTTCCACATGGAAAAACTGAGGTCTGGAAATACTAGGTGTTTTAGCTGAAGTTTCATTTTTGCTGCAAAAAATGGTATTTTTTGGTTGTGTGTGTGTGTGTGTGTGTGTGTGTGTGTGTTGGTCCTGAAGCTTGAACTCAGGACTTGGGTGCGGTCTCTGAGCTTTTTTGCTTAAGGCTGATGCTCTATCACTTGATCCAAAGCTCTACTTCCAGCTTTTTTGTGGTTAATTGGAGATAGGAGTCTCACGGACTTTTCTGCACAGGTTGGCTTCAAACTGCAATCCTCATATCTCAGCCTCGGGAGTAGCTAGGATTAAAGGCATGAGCCACTGGAGCCTGGAAACAGATGTGTGTGTGTGTGTGTGTGTGTGTGTGTAGTGGGTCTTGAACTCTGGGCCTGGGCACTGTCCCTGAGTCTTCAGCTCAAGGTGAGAGCTCTACCACTTGAGCCACAGTACCACTTCCGGTTTTCTGGTGGTTAATTGGAGATGAGTCTCACTGACTTTCCTTGCACAGGCTGGCTTTGAACCATGATCCTCAGATCTCAGCCTCCTGAATAGCTAGGATTACAGGTGTGAGCCACCAGCGCCCAGCATTTTGGGTTTTTGTTGTTGTTGTTGTTGTTGTTTATCAGGGAATCACCACTGGCTCCCACGGCTGGCTTCTCATTGTGAGGTAGGATCATGTCACCTACCCAATGTTGCCCTAGCTTGATGCAACTAATAGAATGATGTTCCTTTTGCTACTCTAGGAATTCTGGAGTTCATCAGCCTGGCAGTGGGCTTGATTAGCATCCGGGGTGTGGACTCTGGCCTGTACCTGGGGATGAATGAACGAGGAGAGCTCTATGGATCGGTAAGCTTCACAGTTTCCTATTTATCAGAGGCTATTACCCACCAATGTTTGGACAATATAAGGCAAAAGGATGTTTATCTAGCACTTGAAAGTACTTTTGTCAACTGTAAAGGATTAGCTGCTTGTTCCTTCTTGGCTGCTCAGGGCCCTTGTCTACAATATCTTCACCCACTCAGCCCTCCAACAAAATATACTCTCTTCTGTGATACATTTACTTTGCCTTTTCTGCTAAAGGGCCAGCTAGCTTGATAATCGCAAGCTGCCACTCGTTTGTCAGTAGATGGTCAGGGTTTAGTGCAATAACCCAGAGCAATGCTTCTCCAGACCCAGGCTCCAGTGACTCATGCCTGTAATCCTAGCTATTCAGGAGGCTGAGATATGAAGATCACAGTTTGAAGCCAGCCCAGGCAGGAAAGTCCATAAGACTCTTATCTCCAATTAACCACTTAAAAGTCAGGAGTAGAACTGCAACCCAAGCAGTAAGCACAGTGCCTGCTTGAGCATTAAAGCTAAAGAGCTGGGCACCAGTGGTTCATGCCTGTAATTGTAGCTACTCAGGAGGCTGAGATCTGAGGACTGCAGTATGAAGCCAGTGGGTAGGAAAGTTCATGAGACTCTTATCTCCAAGTAACCACCAAAAAAGCCAAAAGTGGAGCTGTGGTTCAAGGGTAGAGCAGCAGCCTTGAGCTAAAAAGTTAAACTCAATGCTCAGGCTCTGAGGTCAGGCCCCAGTACTGGCAAAAAAACAAAGCTGTCCAGAGGAATAACTAGCAGGTAGGAGAAATCCAGGCAATGGGTAAATGCCTTCAAATAGAAGATTCTAAGGTTAGCAGCACAGATCCTGATTTCCACATTGCTTCCGTTGAATACCAGTGGCCAAATGAAACAAACAGTTGAAAAATGAAGGTTTCAGGGTCTGCTGACAGTGCTAAGCCCCTAGCTAGGCCTGAGCAGGGTGCAATACAAATCTTGTCTTCTGGAAGCTAGCCCAGCATCGGGGCATGGTGAGCGACTGCTGACCTTAACCCTTTCAGAGGATCCCAATTCCTGGCTTGGACTTTTGAGTCACATAGCATGCTTTCTGTCTCCCTACAACCCCATGGAATTGGAACACATTTTTCCCTGACACGTAAGAGATAGGCCTGTCCCCAGCACTCTGTATCCACTACCCTAGCAAGAAGTATGGTGGCCCAATTAAGAGTGAGAAGGGACAGAGGCAAGAGACCCAGGGCCTGCCAGCTTCAAATAGGCAGATTGGAGGAGGTTTTCAAGGAGATCTTTTCTGGGCTCATTAACTGACAGGCTGAGACCCTTCAGTACGAAAGATCACAGCTCACCTCACGTAGAGCTTTATATAGATCTGAGGCCTTTGCCTGTCCGTTGATTGGGTTGACTGCAATCTCAATGGAGTTTGAATGCTCTTAGGCCTAGAGAGGGAGGAAGCTCTCAGTGGGTGCCATGAAGCCATCAGGAGCCCATGAAAGAAATCCTAAGGCTCAAAACTCCAGCAGAGGAAGAGAGCACCGGTGGCACCCATCTGTAATCCTAACTACTCAGGAGGCTGAGATCTGAGGATCAAGAGTCAAAGCCAGCCAGGGCAGTTAAATGGGAGAGACCCTCCAATTCACCAGCAAAAAGGTAGAAGTGTAGCAGTGGCTCCACTGATAAAGCACCAGCATTTAGTGAAAAAGCTAAGGAACATCATTAGGCCTTGAGTTCAAGCCTCAGTACTGGCACAAAAGTAATAATCATCATCTAGTGGAAGCCATCTCCTCCAATCCCCTTCCTTCAAGAAAGATTTCAGCCAGGTGCCAGTGGCTCACACCTGTAATCCTAGCTACTCAAGAGGCTGAGGATCCTGGTTGAAAGCCAGCCTGGGCAAGGAAAGTCCGTGAGACTCATATCTCCAATTAACCACCAGAAAACCGGAAGTGGTGCTGTGGCTCAAGTGGTAGAGCACTCACCTGAGCTAAAGAGCTCAGGGACAGCTCCCAGGCCCAAAGTTCAACCCCCACAACCAACAACAACAAAAAGATCTCACTGGAAGTGGTGCTGTGGCTCAAGTAGTAGAGTACTAGCCTTAAGCAAAAGAAGCTCACAATAAAATAAAATAAATAAATAAATAAATAAAAAAGAAGCTCAGGATTAGCACCCAGTCCCTGAGTTCAAGCCCCACCATCAATCCCCCAAAAAAGCAACCAAACAAAGAAAGATCTCACCCAAGACATTTTTTGTGCAGTTTGTGAAAGAGAATGGACCTTGGATGCTACTTGGAAGAAAGGTACATGGGTAATGTGGGAGGAGAAAGGACTATCAGTGTGCCTTGCTGTTTTAGGGAGTCATCTAATGAACCCTGCTCTTTTTTCTCATCCACACAGAAGAAACTCACACGTGAATGTGTTTTCCGGGAACAGTTTGAAGAAAACTGGTACAACACTTACGCCTCCACCTTGTACAAACACTCAGACTCGGAGAGACAATATTATGTGGCCCTGAACAAAGACGGCTCACCCCGCGAGGGATACAGGACTAAACGACACCAGAAGTTCACTCACTTTTTACCCAGGCCAGTAGACCCTTCTAAGTTGCCCTCCATGTCCAGAGAACTCTTCCGCTATAGGTAATGGACCTGGGGAGGGGGAGGAAAGGGGGGAAAATCTGTGACCTTAGTAATTCTGAGGCCACGGCTGTGTCTACAAGCACTATACTCATAGCTTTCCAAGTCTTCCTATCAATTTAGATAACAGAGAGGCACTTACCATTCAACTTGACCCAGCTGTTGATCCCTGGTTGTTCAAAGTGTATATGAAGGTTGAGTTATTTTGGGGAGGGATGTGGGGGGATGGGGCGGGCCTGAGGGAAAGCCTGTATATACTTTTTTTCTTTAATCATGTTCTTTCCTCTGAGGTGGAATGACAAAGAATTGGGGAGGGGGATGGGCGTGGCAGGGGAACCCTGTCAAGGGTCAAGGGTTGTCTTGCCCCCACAATCCTCCCAAATGCCTTGAGAATGGATATAAAAGAAAGACCAAGGAATCTGCCACAGATGCTACCTACAGAGCTTTGAAAAAGTCTCCTGAAGAAAATCCTCAGGGCTCCCGCCCTGCTGCGAGCCGGCCTCTACTCCGGCTCTGCTGATTTCTCATTCGTCCTAACATGCAGTTTTCCTGCCATTGCAAGTGGGAAGAGGGCTAGGCTGTATGAAAATCATATTCAAATGTTAAGCATGGATACTGTGCATAAGGACAAACTATTTATGAAATGTATATGCTATTTATTTTATATATTTATTTATTTCAAAAAATAATTTTATTTTTAATGAGAGATGCTATGACTGGATTTTCATCAGAAAGAATAAGGTCCTACTGAAACAGGATAAAAAATGACTTATTAAAGGCTTTTATTGGCAATAAAATTGTCTTTATATTGTAAACACTGAGTGATCCTATTGATTTGTACATTTCAGAGAATTAAAAGGTTGGTGAAGCTCTTCCCTCCCATTCATTAGAATTCCTGCTAGGGATGCCCTACAGTCTATGCCAAGGCACTACTGAAGGCCTAGTAGTCCTTTCAGGTCCTGTGATTTTAAACTTAGTACTGAATCTAAACTTTAGGAAGCTTGTAATCATACCTACTTCAGAGGAAGAGACAGAGATGATCACGATTCAAGACCAATCCAGGCAAAAAGTTTGTTGAGACCCCCATCTCAAGCAATAGCTGGGAATAGTTAGTATGTGCCGGATATCCCAGCTATGGAGAAAGCTGAGATTGGGAGGATTGCAGTTCCACAGACATTAACAAAATCAGGAGGCTGAGATCTGAGGATCGCATTTTGAAGCCAGTCCAGGCAGGAAAGCCTGTGGACTCTTATCTCCAATTAATCACAGAAAAAGCCGGAAGTGGCCCTGTGGCTCAAGTGGTAGAGTGCCAGCCTTGAGCAAAAAGTAGCTCAGGGACAGTGCCCAGGCTGAAAGTTCAAGCCGCAGGACCAGCAAAAACATAATCTCAGGACTCCGCCTTGATGGAAGAAACTGGGATTGGTGGTATGTGCCTGTCATCCCAGCTACATTAGGAAGCATAAAATAGGAGGATAGAGGCCCAGGCACGTGCTCAAGCAAAAAGTTAGATCCTATCTGAAAATAACTAGGAGGGGCTAGAAACGTGGCTCAAAGGTAAGAGTGTTGGCCTAGCAAGCATGAGGCCAAAGCATAAGAGTCCAAACTGTAGCACCACCACCACCAAGATAAATAAATAAATAAATAAAACCTTTAGGAAGGCTGCACCAATACTTCTAATTGAAGTTCCTCCCATTCATACTTAGAAAAATTAGGCACTGAGAAATTCTTTTTGAGGACTTGCTTAGCCCAAAGCCCTAAGGTCAGAAACACTAATTGGTGGCTTCATACTTCAGATAGGAGCAAAACAATTCAAAACAATATTCAACAGGGAGACTGATTTTTTTTTGTCAGTTGTGGGGCTTGAACTCTGGTCCTGGGTAATGTCCTTCAGCTCTTTAGCTCAAGGCTAATGCTCTACCACTTGAGCCACAGAGCCACTTCTGGCTTTTTGTTTGTTTGTTTGTTTGTTTATGTGGTGTTGAGGAATGGAACCCAGGGCCTCATGCATGCAAGACAAGCACTGAGCCACCTTCCCAGCCCCAAGACTGATTTTTTTTGAGCCTGCCAATTTCCTTTCTGAACGATGATCTCCTCCATCTCTTTACCAGCTCCCATCATCCCTTGTGAGTGCTTCTGGGAAGCCATCAACACATTTCCATCATGCAGTAGTGCGCACAGTATATGGTCTTTTGACCAGCAGAATCACCTGGAAACTGACTAGAGACATAAATTATCAAAAACTTGAGGACAGAACCTGGATTCTATGTGTTAATGAGACTCCCAAGGAATCTCTGGGCACACTATAGTTTGAGACCTAATGCCCTAATTTGTTTTCCCTTGTGTTTGCAACCAAATGGTTTATAAAGTCCCAGGGTGGCTTTGGTCCATAGAACAAATCAGGGTGATTCTAGTTAGTGGGGCAGGATGGGGGGGAAGGGAGAGGATGGCATTCCTGGAGCTGTACCTTTCCCATACTAAGTATACTTGTTTGGCCTCTCCACTGATATTTGCAGAGAGAAGAGCACAGGTTGACTTGCATTTTCATAGTGAATGTTGCCAGGAAATAAGAATCAAAGGGATGCAGGTCTCATTGAGAGCACAAACACCATGGTGGCATGGTGGGAAAAGGTTTGGATCTAGAACAGTCCTTAGTATTCCTCAGTCCCATCACATGGGCATCCCTTATTTTTCCAATGAATTGTGTGAGTGGGAATCAAATAGCTTACATACTAGCTCATGTAAGAAGCAAAATCACGAGTTGGAAATATAGCTCGTGTCTAGCATGCATGAAGTCCTAGGTTCCAATCTCAAGCATCACCACCACAACAATTATAACAAAATCAGAAAATCTATACAAAGCACCTGTAATTCTAGCTATTTGAGAAGTAGAGATTCGGAAGACTGAGGTTGGAGGCCAGCCTAGGCAAAAGTTAGTGAGAGCCCATCTCAATCAATAAGCCAAGCATGGTAGCACACATCTATAGTCTGAAAGGCCTTCAGAAAGATAGTTGTAGTGTACAGTCAGCCCTGGGGGAAAAGGATTCTGCTGAAAACTAACAAAAGGAACTAGTAGCTTATGCCTTAATCATAGCTACTCAAAAGGCTGAGATCTGAAGATCATGATTCAAAGCCAGCCTAGTCAGAAAAGCCTGTGAAACTCTTATCTCTAATTAGTCACCAGAATGCTAGAGTGGAACTGTGGCTCAAGTGGTAGAGCACCACCCTTGAGTGAAAAAGCTAAGGGATAGCACTCAGTCCCTGAGTCCAAGCCTCAGTACCAACCCTCCACATACACATAAATTTCTAAAGCAAAAAATGACTTAAGGGCATGGTTCAAGTGGTAGAGCACCTGCCTACCAAAGGGAAGACTCTGAATTCAAACCTTAGAACTGAAAGAAAAAACTTATCTAAATTCCCAGCAAAGAAATTACACCTAGGAGAATAAAAACCCAAAATAGCAAACAATAATATGATAAAAAGAGTTAAGCTGGGCTGGGAATGTGGCTTAGTGGTAGAGAGCTTACCTAGCATGCATGAAGCCCTGGGTTCGATTCCTCAGTACCACATACACAGAAAAAGCTGAAAATGGTGGAAGAGTCCTAGCCTTGAGCACAGAGAGGCTCGCGGACAGTGTCCAGTCCCAGAGTTCAAGCCCAGGACTGGCAAAAAAAAAAAGTGTTAAGCTGCATGGCTTGTGTGATACTGACTAGATTGCTAGTCACCCCCAAGATGGAAATCTCAGGGGGCTACAGAAAGTAGTGAGTCTCCCAAAAGGGATGATGCTTTCTTTGAAGAACCAGTAGGACTTGGGAAAGCAAATGATGTTCATTTTGTGTAGGAAGAAGACACATTGTGTCTAGAATTCTCCAGCAGAACTCTAAAAACCAACTACATAACATGTTTATTACATTTGGTGGTTTTGTTTGTTGAGATGGACTTGCTATATAGCCCAGGCTGGCCTGGAATTTGCTATGCCTCCTGGGTGCTGAGACTACAGGTATGTACCACCACACACACCCAGCTTACACATTATAAATGAGCATCATACCTTAATTGTACAAAAGAAGAGATTTCATTGTGACATTTCCACACATGTGTTTTAATCATATTCACCCCTTTTATTCTTCCTTCCTCTCTCTCCTCCTTCTTCCTCTTGATTTTTTTGTTATTATTGTTTTGTTTTTGTGGTGTTAAAGCTTAAACCTAGGGCTTCATACATAGTAGGCAATTTTAGTTTTTTTTAGAAGAAATCTTGCTATGTGTTGCCCAGGTTGGCTCTAATTTTCTAAGCTTAAGCAATTTTTCTGCCTCATTCTCCTGAGTGCTAGGACTATAGGTATATGCTACCACACTCAACTTCTCATCTTGCTTTTAAAACCCAAATTTTACCAATGTTATCAGTGTTCACTTGCCTATAACTTTTTTTGCCAGTCTTGAGGCCTGAACTCGGCCTGGGCACTGTCCCTCAGCTCTTCAGCTCAAGGCTAGTGCCAAAGTGCCACTTCTGGCTTTTTTTCTGCTTATGTGGTGCTGAGGAATCCAACCCATCCTCCCGCCCACTCCCATCCCACTCCCATCCCATCCTCCCGCCACTGCCCCACCCAACCCTCCTCCCCACCCCCCACCAAAGTTGTAAAGTTCGTTTTCGACATAACGACTTGTACATCTCATTGTTGCAATGGGTCCACCTGTATCCGTATTTAAACGATTTGTTTTTTCCCTACCCCTCCACAAATTATAACAACATCAAATACAGTGAAATCAGGGGTTATACCATGGGGGAGGGACATACAAAGCAACAAAGAAATCATATTATAAATGTGTTAGAAACAATTGCATGAAAGAAAAAAACATTTGAATACATATCTTAAGGTTCATTTCCCTAACATCAACTTATCTGACCATTTCTGCTTGACTCAGACATATACTAGTTATTGCAAATAAGGGAAACCATGGGACCTATGTTTCTTTGGCCTGGCTTACTTCACTTCATTTAATTTTTTCCAAGTCTTTCCATTTTCTAACAAATGGGGCAATGTCATTCTGTCTGATGGAGGCATAGAATTCCATTGTGTATATATACCACATTTTCTGATCCATTCATCTACTGAGGGGCATCTGGATTGGTTCCATATCTTAGCTATGGTAAATAAGGGTGCAATAAACATAGTGGTGCTGGTAGCTTTAGTATGGTCTTGTTTGTGAATATTTGGGTAAATGCCCAAAAGTGGGATTGCTGGGTCATAGGGGAGCTCTATGTGGAGTCTTTTGAGGAACCTCCATACTGCTTTCCAAAGTGGTTGAATAAGTTTACACTCCCACCAACAATGCAGTAAGGTTCCCTTCTGTCCACATCTTGTTGTTGTTGTTGTTCTTGTTCTTGTTTGTTGTCAGTCATGAGAGCTAATCTCTGGGCCTGTCCCTCAGCTCTTCAGCTCAAAGCTAGTGCTCTACCACTTTGAGCCACACTGCCACTTCTGGCTTTTTCTGCTTATGTGATGCTGAGGAATCAAACCCAGGGCCTCATGCATGCAAGGCAAGCACTCTACCACTGAGCCAACTTCCCAGCCCTTATGCTATTTTTTTTGGGGGGGGGGGGGTTCCGGTCGTGGGGCCTGAACTCTGGGCCTGGGCGCTGTCCCTCAGCTCTTCAGCTCAAGGCTAGCGCTCTACCACTTGAGCCACAGTGCCACTTCCAGCTTTTTTCTTTTTGCTTATGTGGTGCTGAGGAATCGAACCCAGGGCCTCATGCATGCAAGGCAAGCACTCTACCACTGAG